AAAAAAAAGAGAAACAGAGAGTATTGGACTGAATGTTCAAAATTATCAGTTCTAAATCTGACTTTACTACTTACAAGTGTGGGCCTAAGAAAAGTTCATAAATCATTCTGTGTCTGTTCCTTTCCCATCAAGAAGAGGAAGATTAAACAGTATTTATAGCCATTCCAACTCTGATAGTTTATAATTCCTGAATCCAAAACAATCTTGGTATCATTGTTTCCCAATGAATGAAACCAAGTACCTATATCACAATGATTATTTATAGTGGACTCAGTAGGAATTCTACCAAAAGAATTTCACTCAAAACTGTTCTCAACTGAACCCTTTTTCTATAAATCAATGGAAAAACATTATGTTAAATAACAGGAGAGATGAGCTAAGTTATAGTAGCTCTAATCAAGATTGCTTACCATATGTTAAGTCCATAGAAAGGTGAATATAAATCAAGAAAATAGAAAAGTCATCATAGATTAAGACATGAGCTTAGAGAATACAAGGTTTCTAATTTGATGTGACTTCTGTAGTTATTGGGACATTCTTGTTTCTCAGAAATATTTCCCTACTGGCCCAAGTCCTCCTATCAGGAAGGATTCATTTCTTAATTTACTATTTTAGGAAAGCACAAAAACAGCCCCAGATATAAACTAGGACATGATATCTTATGACGATAAACCTATATAACTAAAAACTGGCAAGCATTTTTATCATACCTACAATCTTTTTTTTTTTGTTGTTGGTCGTGGGGCTTGAACTCTGGGCCTAGACGCTGTCCCTGCGCTCTTCAGTTCAAGGCGAGCGCTCTACCCCTATAATCCTTTTTTTTAAGGAAATTAGAAGGTCCTCTACCCTAAATCTTCAGATGAGAAAAACAAGACTTGCAGAAGTGAAGTGAGGAGGTGCTCAGTCAAGTACCTCACAAGAGATGTGTGTAGACAATAGCCTGATCCTCTTTATGAACACTTGTCCACAGAAAGATCTGTGAGATAGCGGGGCAGGGGTGTGGAATGGGAATGAGACCTTTAAAGACAGACTGGCTGGAATTCGTATTTTAATTCTGCTCTTTGATGAATTATGATATAATTTTTAAACTTTGGAGTATTTTTATTATTATAAGAGCATCTGTGGAGTGCTGGGGGCCCATGCCTTTAATCCTAGCTACTCAGTGGGCTGAGATAGGAGGATCTCAGTTCAAAGTCAGTCCAGGCAAGTAAGTCCATGAGACTCTTAGCCCTAACAAACTACTTAGAAAAAGCTGGATGTGGCACTGTGGCTAAATTGGTAGAGTGCTAGCCTTGAGTAAATGAAACTTTGAGATGGTGCTCATTCCCTGAGTTCAAGCCCCAGGACCAGAAAAAAAAGAAAGCAAGGAAAGAATAAAAAGAATACAAATATGGAATTAGACAATAAAGGGCAATGAACTGTTAAAGCACTTAGTGTAAATGGTGCATAGTTTTAACACATGTTGATTTAAATACAATACGTGTTTTTAATGTTATAAATAGGTCCCATGTGACAGGAAGAGTAGGAATACAGGTAGTTTAAACTACCTGTATTTTATTTTTATGAGTCACATTTTAAACTGTTATATTTACTTTCTATTTCACATTCTTCTGTGAGTCTCCACAAATGAAACCCTTACCACAAATGCCCTTTCTGATATCTTGATCTGAGCAGCCTACTCATTTTTCTAGCTTAGACTCAGGAGAGTCATTTCTTTTTTTAAAGGGTCTTGGAGATGCAATTGGCTATTATTTGGGCATCCATGTAAAACTCAAACCCATTTGTAAATATTTCCTAGGCATCTCTTATGATGTTAGGGAGCTGTGCTAGGGCTACATGACAGAGTATCACAGAAGGAACCAAGTTTGTTTGGTTCTGTTAGAAGTTCTCAGACATTTATCTGAAAGACCCTGGCTATTCCAAAAGATGAGGTCTGACACAAAGTTGCCAACCCTTTATCTTCCATGTAAGGACAGATATAACTGCTATTGACTACCATTTTTTTAAGAAAGTAAATGATAGTTTAGCTCTAGATATGATAGTCTCAAGATTGTGAAACAATAAATAACTTAGGCTTTGTGCACAACTCAACGGAAGGATGAGATACATAACTAAGCAATAGGCACCGGGGAATTCATTGATTTTTAGATATTTTGCCTTAATAGTTCAGATATTGTTTCTTTTTGTCTTAAATATTTACATACATGCACGGACAGTACTTTGATCATATTTAGATCATCTTAGATGCTATTTCTTACTCATTTTTGTATGTCTAGCAGTACTTACTGTCTAGTAAGAAATACTCAGTAAAAACTAATAAATGAGTCAGTGAATCTGTGTTTCAGCAACTGTCTCATTGTAATGGCTACAGAAAGGAGCACATAGGAGATCAAGCCAGTGTTTGGGAACAGAGTGGTATGAATATATATGAAGTTATGTTATTTACTCTTCAAATTGGCCAGGTACCAGCGATTCAGCAAGTTTTATGTAGAGTTATTAGTAAGACTAGGCTTCAGGAAATCTGAGGAAGAGCCAGGGGCCCAAAAGAAGATACTGAGGCATAGCTACTGTAGCAGAAATTGATTGTCTTCATGGGAAACGATATGTAAGAATGTTCCATGTGACATCTGAATTACACTAAATATAGGTACTGTAAACAGATAACAGTCCGTGATGATTTATGATGTGCCCTATTCTATTGGAAACTCTTTGCATTCATTATGCCATTCAATTATGTAAAAAAACCTATTGAGATCTATTTGTTAGTCTTGGACAGATAGAAAACTGAAGCTTGCAGATTTATGGAAGGGCACAATCAGCCCGTGACAGAGGATGGTCTCAGCCTAGATCTAATTTTCTTTAGAGTGCACCCAAACTCCACAATCCCTTTCCAGCTCCACATTTCTGTGATAGGCACTTTTATATAACTCACCATACCTTCTGAAATAAAGAAGGAAGTTTAAATGTTTCTTCCTAGCTAGAAATTTAAAGCTGTCAAGAAACTGACTTTTTCTATTTAAAAACTGTGTGATCACAAGCAATTTCCCTCAATTCTTTGAACCTTCTTTTCCTACATCTCAAAAATGTGGATTAAAGGTTTCTTGTTCTGTTTTTTTGGGGAGTGGGGTGGGGAGTGTATGTCAGTATTGAGGTTTGAACTCGGAGCCTAGCCTCTGCCCTTCAGCTTTTGTGATTAAAGGTAGCACTCTACTACTTGAGCCACAACTCCTCTTCTATTTTTTGGTGGTTAATTCAAGATAAGAATCTGACAGGCTTTCTTGCCTAGGCTGGCTTTGAACTGTGATCCTTAGATCTCAGCCTAACAGTACAGGTATGTACTATCAGCACCTGGCTTTTTTTCTGTAGTTTTGAGAGGATTAAATGGATAATGTATGTAAAACAACTAGCACAGGGCTTGGATTATGAAGAAGCTTTAATAAATGTTCACTTATTATGGGTGCTGATAAGCTAAACAGCATTTTCAAATTAAAATGATGTCAAGTATTAGCAATAGGATGGAAGCAAATAGATCATTGTTCTCGTGGGTAAGGTGCCTATATTTACACAATTCATTATAGCCCCGAGACTATAATGCTGCAGACTTTATTTTAATTAAGAGCACAGAGATCAGAGATTTCAGCATAGGAAGGATTTTCTATTTGATTTATACCACAGATGCCCATTTTCAGCATTCAAACATTCCATTCCTCGGCTAAAGATATAACAAGCTACTTCAGCAAACCTGAGATTGCAAAATAAATGGAAAATGCTTAATCATTCAAAAAGATATACCGAAGAACAGAAAGGCCAAAGAATGAACATGTCCTAGCAGCAAGGCTCCTCTGCTGTTTCAAAGGCTGACAAATGGTTTCAATTAGATAGAAGCAATGGAAATCCCAAACAATCCATCTTTTCCATCTTTTTTTAAAATACAAAACATATAGAAATAAAGTATGTATCCAAATTTAATCTAATTTCTAGAAAGCGTATTACTCAAAAGACAAAATCAAATTGCTGAGCAATGTGTAAAATGTGAACCCATTTAATAAAGTCAGTGTCAAGTCCCAGTTCAATCTGAGAATGTAACTGTCTATATTTTCATGGGTGTGGACAGGGAATGACAGGTTTGTGGCCAACTGTCACACTAGGAACCTCAAGAAAGGTCACTCAGGAGGGAGTTGGAAGGAGGTTCTTGCTTCTTCATTATGTTTGTATTCTGTCACTCAACGTAATAAGCATATTTTTTGAAACAAAACCATTTGAAAATATAAAGAAAATGTAAATTTAAAAATATTTATCCACTCATTCATTCATTGATTTATTCATCATACAATATTCATATAATCCTTACTGGTGAATTAAATAAACAAAGTTGGTCTTCTCTGTGAACTGTCAGAACTGACCTGTCAGAGGAGTGCTGATAGATATGGCTGTGCTTGTGCCTGAGTATTTTAGCCTATGCTTCTAGAATTGGACCCTGTTCCCCTTTGTAATAAACAGTATATGAATTTCAAACCATTTTGGGTTAACGTCAATCCTTTACCTTCTGCCTATAGGTAGTATACAGAGAGGAGCTTCTGAATCCACTGAACTAAAGGTGGCCCTTGGTGGCAAGAATATGGAAATCGGAGTCACAGAATCAATTTCAATTAGGATCTCAACTAGCTAGACAGTGATTCTGGTAGATCATTTTCTGCCTTACAAACATCAGCCCTAATTTTGTCCCTTGACAAACTTCAGATGGCTGTAAAGCTCAAATAGGGTATGTCCTGGAAAGTCCTAATACACCACACTGTATGTTCCTAAGTGTATATTGCTAAGTGTATGCTACTATTTCTCCTACAAGTATTTGTAGGCTTCCACTGAGGCAAGACTATGCTAAGTTTTGATGACACTCAAAAGCTTGAAGTTACTGCCCCACACAATATCTGACATGTTAGGTAAATGTGATTACTTTCCGGTAGCAAAAGCAAGGCCCCAAACCAGCAAATATATCTGACCTGGTGTAGTCATCTTCAACAAGCATGTGCTTTGCAATTGGCGAGTACCTTCCTGGAGAGATGGGTGGCAGGGAAGTTTTGTATTCTAAAGTGCCATTGTTGCCAGAAAGTAGATGGTTTTCCATTGGTGGAGAATAAGCTAAGAGAAAAAATAAAATATAGAAAGAAAGTGAAACCTGGTATGTGGGTGATTCAATGTGTCATTGCTGTACTTCAAAGGATGCACTAAAAACGCAAAGGTTTTGTACATGCCAAGAATTTTCTTGTCTTCCAAGAGGGGCATAGTTGCTGATGATTTGCATTTAATATATACAAGTACATGGTGACCTTTAGAATTGGAAAGATGTAAGAGTTATATTTGTAACTCCAGTTAATATAATTAGGTGATGAGAAGAACTGAAGGGGAGCTACAACACACAGTCTCAGAACGATGATTCATTTCTCTATTGAAATAAAAATGTTAGCTTTCTAATTGTGAGGCTTCCATTCTTTTCACATAATTAATATCCAATCATTAAAAGCAAAAGTCTCCTAAGGAATAAGTTCTTGTGTCAGACTTCCTCCCAGAATATAATACACTTTTATCAGAGAAAGGCCAGTTACTCTGGATGTTCTTTTCTATTTCTTTTTTCTTTCTTTTTTTTGGGGGGGTCTGGTCATGGGGCCTGAACTCTGGGCCTGGGTGCTGTCCCTCAGCTCTTCAGCTCAAGGCTAGCGCTCTACCACTTGAGCTACAGCACCACTTCCGGCTTTTTTTTCTTTTTGCTTATGTGGTGCTGAGGAATTGAACCCAGGGCCTCATGCATACAAGGCAAGTGCTCTACCACTGAGCCACCTTCCCAGCCCCTCTTTTCCATTTCTTGTCCTTAATTCATTTCCATTTTAAGCAACTGGCAATATCTTCTCATTGGGAATCCTGTCTTCCTTGTCTCCTCAAACATTTTACATGTTGAGTTAAAGTAAACCCTTTGCAAGTCCAGCGCTGGCCATGTTTTCTTGCTTAATTGTTCATCATTAAATTCTTATACTAGATAAAGCATAATTTTCCCCTTTACATTCCTATAGTGTCTCCTTCACATATTCTGTCATCTTCAAACAAAGTCATCCCATTGATATCTGACCTTTTTAAACCATATAAAATATTTACAACTTCTGTCTTTCATTTGTTACTGCTTATCTTATTTTGGATGTAGAAATCTCATCATTCTTCAAGGCATTATTCGATCCTCTGCATAGAGGTTTTTCCCCTAATCTTCTAAAGTCAGATTATATATCTCTCAATTTTGAGACTCTAAAGGTTATTTTAAAATTTTTTTTCTAGGGCATTCCAAACTCTCCTATTCTACCAAATGTTGTTGCTATTAAAATACCTGAATTGGTTTACCTTCAAACCAAGCTACTTGAAGGCCATGATTATATTTCCTCTGTATCTTCCATTTTACTTTACAAAGTATGCCGTATATATTGTAACTTAATACACATTTTTTGAATTGATTAGAAACCTTTTCATCTTTATTTTTCTGTTTGACATTGACCTCATATGCCATGCTGAAGTGACTTAGAGTCTCCATAGGCTGATTTTCAAAATTCATTAAGCTTGGAAAAGTTAAAGGAAAATAGTTAAGATTTATTTAAGCCTACTCCTTTCTTAGAAAAGAGATTTTGTGGGTTTCTTTTTTTGGGTGGTGGAGAGGATATTTTAGAATTATCATTAAGAAAAGCAATAACTAAGGTAATGAGCAGGTAACAAAACTATGCAATCTTTACATTTCTCTCAGGAGAAACATCTGAATCTGAGAAAGACTAAATAATTTGCTTAAGACCATATTACTAAATGGCAGACATTGGGTATATTCTGAATTCCCAGAGGCACAACTGAACTATCAAAATTTCAGAATGAGCAAGCATACTTATATCAACACAACTAGCACTGACTTTACATAAGCAAGCAAATTGCTTCCAAATTGAATCCTCAAAGACAGAATCTCAAATAAAGTTCAAAATATGGGTCTCATGTAGGAGTGCATCTGTAAGGTCATCAGCACAGTCGCTCATGCCCTAGAGCCCCCTAGAACCACGCCCTCAACCCACATCAAATGTCATAACTGATTATTTTCTCTTGCTCCTTGCATGATAACAATTTCAGGTAAAGGGAAGAAGCACTATGGTGATTTCCTCTTCAAGAGTAAGACCATCTTCCTCAGGAAGAAGCTCCGATATAATCCTCCTTCCACCTCTCTTTCTCTCTCCTTCTTTCCTGTCCTCTCCTCCCCTCTCCTCCCCTCCGCTCTCCATCTCCCCTCTCCTCTTCTTCCCTCCTCCCATCCTTTCCTTTCCTCCTCTTTCCTCCTTTCCCCTCTCCTCTCCTCCCTTCCCCTCCTCCGTTCTCTCTTCCCTCCTTTCCTCCCCTCTTTTCTCTCTCCCTTCCCCTCCCTGCCTTCCCCTCCCCTCTCTTCTCCTTCCTTTCTTGACAGAACTGGAATTTAAATTTGGGGTCTTATACTTGGCACTCTACCATGTAAGCTTTGGCCCCAGCCTCCTTCCCTTAGTTATTTTTCAGATTGGGGTTCTTGAACTTTTTTTTTTTTTTGCATAGGCTGGCAAACCAAAATCATTTCAATTTTTGACTCTTAAGTAACATGAACTGAAAGTGTAATACCTCTGGTTTATTTTATCAGCTTTTTCCCTTCACGCTGTTGCCAGTAAGATCTAAATTAGGAAGTGGAAGTGTTATGGCATGAGGTCAGTCATGTTTGAGATAAACACTCATAGAATACATTGCCCGTACACTATGGTAATAACCCTCTTCACAACACATTATAAATATTAATAAATGTTAACAAGTGGTGATTAACTATTAATGTTAATAATGAATGCTGATTATTAATCTTTTCCACCACAATAGATTTGCCTCTCATGAAGGTGTCCCACCTCTAAAACTAACCAAGGTCCAGAAAAGAAATTTGGGAAGAAAATACAGAATATTCTCTGGACAGTGTTTCTAGACCCTGTGTAAGAGTTGAAGGTGCAAGCAGAGGACTTTGACAATGAATGGTTCTATAGAATTTCAATTTTAAAGTTGACATGCTATTAAAAGGTGACACAAAGCATGGTACTTACAGTGAGTAATATCAGGTGGACCATAAGGATCAGTCATGTAAATGGTGGTGGGTTTGCCAACTTTTAGATAGACTACATCAGATGTATTCTTCAGAATTGCTACTGCCTCTTCATGTGTTACTTCTTCTAAACTATAGTTGTTTACCTAAAAGGGAAGAAATTAATATAGAGTTAAACCTATGAAGTTGAAGAGAAGTACTTAACAGGATTAAGGCTGAAATTATGATCTCATTTAAGGATTAAATTGCAATAATTAACATAGGTATTTGTATCACACTTTCTGAGAATAGAGGTATTAAGCATTAGCCAAAGCATTAGCCAAAGCAGATTTAATTAGGGATTAAACTCAGGACCTTACACATTGCTAGTTTAGCACTCTGTCATTGAACCAAATTTCCAGACATGAGGATGCATTTTAAGGAAAGAGTAACTGATGCTGAAATAGAAAACTTTGCAGGTAAGTGCATACACTGATGCTATAAAATAAGGTTGTCTCTATCTTTCCCTGTGAGAAATTGACATATTACAATGGATGTCAGAACAGTAGTTACAGAAATATTTTATCTTAATGTGTTATTTTCATGTGATTAAAAAGTAATACATATTAATTTAAGAAAAAAAAGAAAATTGGAAACCCAAAAGTCATCTCCCTGCTTGGCTGTATCCTTTAAGCAATTGTGATCATTTTATACACATTGTTTTAGAAACTGCTTTTTAAAACCTAGGGTGGGTTTGACTATAACATAAATGCACTTAGACAATATGACCTTATTACTATTACTACTTTAAGTGTTTGTACAAAGAAGTTACCATGTAATGCCCACATGAACACAGTACATATGGATCAATGAAACTCCTTTCAAGATTCTCACCCATCCCTCCCTGCTTACCCTTTTCCTTCACACCTCTTGATTTGTAGGATATACATTGAATTCTTGACTGCATTCCCCTTGCTTCTCCTCTTTATTCTTCATGTGTTACTTCTGTATTCATCTACCTCTTTCCCCTGATCCCACTCCAGAACTCAGTGCAATTCTTTAGAGAGTCAAAGTTCAACAAGACAACATGATTTTTGTTTGTCACTGGAGCATTGTGCCACATGTCTATAATAATGACAACGCAGCTTTTATAAGTACATGTCAGCAGCACACACACACACACACACACACACACACACACACACACACACACACTCCAAAACTGTCACTGGGCACTGGTGGCACATGCCTGTAATCCTTGCTACTCAGGAGGCTGAGATCTGAGGATCATGGTTTGAGGCCAGTTCAGGCAGGAAAGTCCACGAGACTCTTATGTCCAATAAACTATTTAGAAAAAGCCAGAAGTTGCCCTGTGGCTCAAATGATAGAGCACTAGCCTTAAGTACGAAGATGTTCTGGACAGTGCCTATGCCCGAGTTCAAGCCCCAGGACTGGCAAAACAAAAGCAAAAAAATCCCACCCACCCCCAACTGCAGTAAGTACATGTTTAGTTTGTTTCTAATATTTTTGCTATTATAAATAATGTTGCAATAAATACATTTTTCATAGTTATATGTAATTTTAGTAATTTCTTTGGGATAAATCATATTTACTTGATAATTAGACCAAACTGTATTAACATTATGATGGTTTTTTAACATCGATTCCCAAAGGGCCTTTTGGAAGAAGAGCCAGTTTACTCTTGTTTAACACTAAATGAGATCTATTTCCCTAGTTTCACAGATTTTGCATTTTCTCAAACTGCAATTCAAAGCCAGCCCAAACTGAAAAGTTCCTGAGATTCTAATTAAACAGTAAAAAGCTAGAAGTAGTGATGTGGCCCAAGTGGTAGAACACCAGCCTTGAGGAAGAACAAAGAGCCAAGTGAGAGCATGAGATCCTAAGTTTAAGCCTTAGTACTGACACACTTGCATGCATACACACACACACACATACACACACACACACACACACACACACACACACACACACACCACAATTTCCATTAGAATAACATTCAACAATTTAACATGAATCTGTTTTTCTAGTTTCTATTTTTCCAGGGTGGTACATATTAAACCCAGGACCTTGCACATGATAGACACTGTTATTATTGATCTATATCCCCAGACCTGAGAATTAATTTCAAAGAAAGAGTGCTAATGTTAGAATACAGGGCTTTGGAGGTGAACAAGTTCAAGTGTGCTGTTTTGCTATCAGCATCAACAACAATGCTCCTTTGTTTCTTGTACATGGAAGCCTTTAATACAGAGTGATTCTTACTTTACTAATACAGTGTAATTCCAACTTAATGGCATTGACCTTAAAGTAGCTCTCTACAGTATTTCTCTGGTTTCAATATAATATCTTCAGAAAGACAGTCACTGAGGAAATAATATTAGAAAGTGTTTTTAATATTATTATAAATATTATTAATAATATTATTACAAATATTATAAAGTCTTATAAATATCCAGGCTATACTTGGCTACTATTCATCTACAGAGTGATTCTTGAGTAATGTTCTGTTGAAATGTTATAGAATTGGTATAAAAGAGCAAATTGGATCCCTATTTCTGAGAGGAATACATTCTATGACCCTTAACAAGTGCCTGAAACTGAAGATAGCATTGATTCCTACATATATTGTTTCTTTTCTTATACATCATATTAGGTTAAATTCCAGTTTACAGACCAGGAGATAAATATAGCAAGTGATGAATAACTAATACCAATATAGAAACAGTATAACAATACACCTCTATTCTCAGCATCTCTACTCGGCATTTTGGGGGACATGAAGTAAAATAGGATGAATTGAACACTAGTACTACAATACGATGACTGTCAATCTAATAACTGAGATGAGAGGGAGTCATTAGCAAGTATATAATGTGTGAATAAACTGCATGAAGGGCTGACTCCTAGCTCTAGTAGGATGGGGCAGAGTAATGTGACATTTTGTCTCATTACCCAGAAAACTGCACAACTTACAATTGTTTTTTCCTAAAAGTTTTTATTTAATATTTTTTGGCTTACAGTTGACTGAGGATAATCCAAATTACAGAAAGCTGAGTTGTGTATAAGTTGTGAATATACTTTGTGTAATCTTTAATTTGTATTTTATTATACAAAACCTAGCCGCACTGTTATTTATTATTAATTTATTTTTCTCATGTGCCAGTTAATTTTTTGTGTGGTGTAGCCCATGATAGAAAGCCTGGAACTTTGGGAAGTTGGACCTGACTACGAATACTATTAATTCTTCATTAAGCTGTAAGATGTATTGATATTTCTTTCTCATTCTCTTTCTCTGTCTATACCTCTCTCTCTCTCTCTCTCTCTCTCCCTCTCTCTCTCTCTCTCTCTCTCTCTCTCTCTCTCCCCTCTTGTTTCTTTGTCTCTTTACTTTCTCCATCTTCTCTTTGCTTCCTTCTTGCCCTCCAGGACTTGAATGCAGGTCCTTTAATACATGCTAGGCAGGTGCTCTAGCACTGGTCTACTGGCTCTTACATTTTTCTTGTAGACAAGTGGTGTTTAGACAAGTAGTCTTTTCTTAAATCCTTTCATATATCCAGTGACCGGCATGAGTTTATTTATTCATCAAATGTTTACTACATACCTGTCATGTATCTGTTCTAAATAGTAGACACAGTGGTAAACAGTAAGATTAATAATCATCAGAGCAAACAGTTATATAGCCTGCATTAAATGCCAAGTACTATTCTAATTTATTTTACATATATTACCACAACTCAAAATAGCTTATCAGATAGTGAATATAATTACTTGGTGGCTAATATAATTACTTTTACAGCTGGAAGAAGCATATCTCCAGGAAGTTAAAAAAGAACACTTTCAAAATGCCATTGATTTGATAAATGGTAGATGCAGAATTCAAATATGGCTCCAAGGCCCACACTCTTAATCACTCAGCTATGATGCTTCTTCCAAATAAACACAGTTCCTAGTCTCCTCAACCCATAGTCTAACTGGACACAGTTGTTTGTGGGGTGAATGTTTAGTTGAATAGACCCATGAAAGGAGGGAGAATTTAGAGAGATTACAGTATGGAAAACATAGATGGTAAAGGCAGCTAACATTTATTTAATATTTTCATAGCACATATTTGAAGAGCACTATGTGATATATTCATGTATCTATATGTATATATGGTGGTATTAGAGGTTGAACCTAGGAACATTTGTATATAGGAGTATTTGAACCTTGTACTAAACCTAAGGCCATTTGAGCTATGCCTCCTTTTCCTCCTATGCCATTTTTAGATAAACCATATTGATGATCTTCCCTATATTTTCATGAAGAGGATACTAATAATTAGTCCTACATAATAGATGAGTAAAAAGGACGTTATTAGAACAAAGTGGTCACATAGCCTCCAAATGGCAAGGCCATCAGTACTGTTTTGGGCCTCGAGAAAGATGTAAATGAGACTGTCATATTTATATCTTGGGAGTGTTCTTTCATTAACCTCTAGAGCTTGCTTATAGCATCTATCTATTTTTCTTCCCATTTTCTTTTTAAAGGCTAGCACTCTATCATTTGAGCTACAGCGCCACTTCCGGTTTTCTGGTGGTTTTATTGGAGATAGGAGTTTCACGGACTTTCCTGCCAGGGCTGGCTTTGAACCTGTGGTCCTCAGATCTCAGCCTCCTGAGTAGCTAGGATTACAGGCATGATCCACCAGCACCCGGCTCCCATTTTCTTCTTTTAGGAGCATATGTTCTCTTTCCAAGTTGATATATATATATATACATATATATATGCATATATATATATAAAATCTTGCAAAAGACTATAAAAGTCCAAGTGATCACTCTATTTTTTGTTTGTTCCTGTGGTGAGATTATAGTCAAAGAATAAAAAATAAGCAAAAAAAGAAAGTAGCGTAATATATCTCATCATTCTTTGAAAACAGTCTTATCTGTTTCATTAATTCCTAATTTGGGGGCAGTACCTCTTGTGCCCAAACGGTTGATAGTTACAAGATTATACAATGGTTTAAAATTCACATGAAAGTGGTGTTCTTTCTCTTTCTTTAAAACATTGTGGTCTTAGGCAGCTCTGAGAGTTGTAAAAATGACCCCACAAGTGTCTATATTGAAAAAAATACAAGAGAAACAGAATTTGGAGGAAAAACACAAAG